TTGTTCCTAAGCTACCATTTCTGCTTACTATAGCAGGCAACAACAGGGCAAACGAACCTGAACCGACACCGGCCGCTATTTCTTTTTGGAAGACGGAGGAAATAGCTTCAAGATTGCGTCAGTCTATATGAATATGAATGGTTGCTTAACTAGTGCTTACTAAAAATACAGTGGCTGTTCAACGTGCTGAGGGACCCGTACCTACGCACGTCTTGGGATTACTATTTCAAAGCGCAGTTCATGACAGAATCTCCGATCCTTAAAGCAAGCAGTCTAGCAACCCGGATGCCCTTGCGCAATAGACTGACAACGATCAAAGAACTATTTCATTCGTGAAGGGTATCACAGCAGTTGAAAAGCATTCCCCGAGTCACAGGCGGCTCTGGAAGGGTTTAGTCAATGGGAAGATTCAGTGAATTTCAACTACTCACTATGTACAACATTTCAAACCAGTGATTCGAAAATGAGTTATCTGCATTAGCGTCAGCAGCTTAGGACAGTTGAAGATGCAAGAAATTACAAGTCTTACCACTTTGAAGTGCTGACATTATCTCGTTCGCAAGTCTAAGTGCGTGCATTGGGGAAACATCATCTGTATCAGTCTGCAATTATGCACTGTTTTGTAACCTTCTGTCACGTTAACCCCGAAGATCGTGTTTCAAAAATAAGCTGTTAAATGTTTTAAAAAAGGCGCATGACAGAAGATGGAGACCGACACACGGCACTCAAGGACGAGAACATGTCCCCATTAATCAAATGGCACAAACCGCTGTTACTAGATGTCTAGACTTGCGGACGAGAAGGCCTGGTGAGTCAGGGTTGTATTTGTTTTCCCCGTGAGTAATGACCAATGTATAGCTACAGACTGTAATGTAGTCTTTGACCAAGTTGAAATGTTTGGATTTGGAAGAGCGCCGAAACACGGAATTTTCCGGTCGGCTTTCTAACGTCACTGCATGCGGCCGCTTTTTCTGAGAGTGATGACCGTATCAATTTGCTATCGATGGCCAAAGTACTCAAGATGAAGCCTGCTAAAGCACCCTGGTTTGGCTTGAGAGAGGGCGCATAGTCAGACAGGAACAATACGTATCCCGCTCGAAAGGTGTACATGGTGCGAACCCCAATCATTGTTTTTGGAAATTGCTAAGTGTAACTTGTGCGGTCTTTCTTTACTGATAGCCAGCGCCCTGGACCGTGGAACGCGGTGCATACTACACACCGGATGCGTACAGGTGTTTCCAACGAATTGGTGTGATCGTGCGCTGATGGCAATGACAAGTCACTACTCCAAATCCCGGCAGGCTGCGGGGCACAAACGACACGATGACCGGACATGAGATGTACAGAGTCCGAATGAGCAACTTCCTAAAGTAAGGATGACAACCGAAATGACGGTGCCCCACTGCAAAAGACTATCTTTTCACCAAGGTAGCAGTCTCGAACCCGTTCGCACAGGTAAGTAGTGTTAACGAGAGGGTCAACTCTTGGTTTCTCCTAAGAAGACGAGAGCGATGGGAGACAGTTGTCCCCGCTGACCACCGATACTGAAAACGACTCCAATGACGGGCTGCGCGCATCTGGGAGAGCAGTCTCGAATGAGAGGCAAGTACAGTTCTCTATTTTTATTTTTCAGCTCGTGGTCGTTACAATGACTACCACTGACTTTCAGGCATCAGCACCGGTCACGCACTCACGATAAACTAAACACAGGATATCTAAATCCTCTCGCGCGGTAGGCTATCATGAACCATACTTGGACGTGAGCCGGTACCTCCCTTTGCGATGCCCAAAGTTGCCGTATCAAAAACAAACATAGTTTCTGCACTTGATAGGACCGATAATGAGCCTAGCTTTTACACCATGTCAACGCAACCTCACGCAGTGCATATTCAGGGGAAATGACATACCGTATAAATTGGATCAAGACTCCACGCAGTCCTTTTCTCGTAGTTTCCCTGCGTGTCCCAACATCGTCTACATAAACACGTCTGTCTCATTCAATCTCACTAGTAATATGTTGACCTTGCCTCGCTTCGCGGTTGCTCTCGCTCTCGCATCCTCTATCTTCGGTGTTACTATTCCTGCAGTACCCTCTCGCCGCTCCGGGGAGCTTTGGGAAGGTTTGGAACACGAAGAAGTAGACCTAAGAGGTCTAGCACCCTCTCGCCGCTCTGGGGAGCTTTGGTTGGGAGCGGAACATGAAGAGGTAGACGTGTCTAGCACTCTTGCACTGATCTGAGGAAGGAGGTTTTCCCTTATATTGATGTTTGAGGTCAGTTCCTGCGCGAGCCTCACGAATCTAGTCCTGAAGCACTTCTTACAGCTATAACATGTCGTCCGTGGCTTGGTATTGATTGATCATGAGCGAGGGGCTCTGTGCTGTTGTATATACAGCATGTGGGTAGCTTGGTCCGACAGACAGGCCTCTGTCAGCATTTCCAGCAACCCTTGTATAATTTTTTTGTCACTTTCATTCTACAGTTGCGAGCACCCTATATATCTATACTAGTGCTGATATGGAACGAGAACGAATGAACTAGATGACGAGACTATTTAATATAACTGTATGTAAATTTGAACTGTCACAGGCGCTTTTAGCCCTCGTTGGCATAGATAGAATTCTCCATCATGGTTTTCTTTGATCATGAGTTAAATATCGTTTGGTTCCCATGTATCTGCTGTGCGATTCAGAGTGTCGAGTGCGGAAGCGCTGAAACTTTGTGCGATGACTTGGATCAACGGCAATAATATCTGAGTTAAAAATTGAAAGAGATTCCCCCAAGCTGGAGTACTTCATTCAAGCTAAAGCGCTAAAGACGGGAGTTGCGGTCGAAATGGCAGTTACCAAGTGAAGTAGAATTTTTGCTGACAAACAGTCTGCTTTCCATACAGCCAATGCAATCGGTAATACACCTGACATTTCAACTTCATTGAGCACTATTCTACTCAACATTCCTTGTAACTTGTTGTACATAAAAACCCGATTCTGCAAAGTGGTTGCCTTGTATACAGTGTTGTGAGTCAACACGTGAAACAAGTCTTACTAGTTATCATAGCGGTGTGGTTCAGAGTCCCTGCGTACATCACACGGTGAGTTTGATATGATTACACTCAGTGTGAAACAAGGCTTACGCGCCCATGCTTTCCTGGGTCTGGTTCTGGAGTCTCTTCCTGAATACATTGTGCGATGAGTTTAACATGATGAGATTTGATGCGAGACAAAGCTTACACGCCCAGTGACTACTGCCTTTCCTGGGTCTGGTTCTGGAGTCTCTTCCTGAATACATTGTGCGATGAGTTTGACATGATGAGATTTGATGTGAGACAAAGCTTACACGCCCAGTGACTACTGCCTTGCCTGGGTCTGGTTCTGGAGTCTCTTCCTGAATACATTGTGTGGTGAGTTTGACATGATGACATTCGGTGAAATAAAGCTTACACGCCCAGTGACTACTGCCTTTCCTGGGTCCGGTTCTGGAGACTCTTCCTGAATAGACTATGTGGTGAGTTTAACATGATGACATTCGGTGAAATAAAGCTTACACGCCCAGTGACTACTGCCTTGCCTGGGTCTGGTTCTGGAGACTCTTCCTGCGTACATGTTATGGTGAGGTTTACACGTTTGGTGCGAAGCAAGGCTTACGCGCGCAAGTGCTAAATAATTGGCCTATGTATATTGTGAGCTCAAGGTGAGACTGACGCGAAGCCAAGCTTACTCGGGTCATCACGAGAGTGCTACGCTTGTCAAGAGGAGCAGCGTGGCGAGCAGCCTGCAGACATTGTATGGCAATATGATAAGATTTGACGCGATGCGAGGCTTACTGGTACTCCAGCGTTGACAAGGGCCGTCAAGCCGAGGAGAACAACGAAAGTAGTAGAGAGGCGGATAAACATGATGGTGAGTTGATTTCACTTGTAGGGAGGTTGTTGACAATTGACTGTGGATGCTGTCTGTTTTATACTCCACAGAAGAGGACGTTATGGAGATATGCTGATACTAGTGATGAAATTCCACATGGGTATTTGTTCAAAGGGGTCAGCTATCGAAGCATCGTACGTGTCCCAAGTCGATCCGACAATTGAATACTGTTCAAATTGCTGTAGGGACGCAAGGTTCGTGACATAGCCGGACCTGAATACATTGCGGACTTTGCACTTTTGTTTCTATCAAGAAGCCTCGACTTCCAATTCCAATTTAGTGGGAAGAAGGCTTTGTATTGAAACGAGTGTATACCCATCTGTCCTATCATGACTCACTGTCCAGCTGGCCGATGTAACATAAGTCGTCAACAACCGCCGTTCTGGCACCAGTTGCAGCAATGCATGACAAACGTTCAATGAGTGGTAGTATTACCATGTCAGCGGGCGCGAGTTACTAACCTTGTGTACTGTATGCAATATACATATGTCGGGTCATGTTGGGATCCGACGAATCTGAAGGAGAAAAGGCCGAAGGAACTAGAGCCGAGGGGGAGAGGCAGCAACCGGCCGAAGGATAGAGCCAGTTTCGAGGACACCAAGTGCGAGCGCATCCAAACGGAGAATGAGGACGACGTGACATGGTCAACTCGTGCGCTGTCCATCTTTTAGTTTATTTCAGCGTATATGACTGTACCTGGGACACTCACCTTATAAGCCCAGGTACCCGCATCCAAGCATCTCAGTTTCAACTCGAATACTGAGATATTCGTACCTTTGTGTCTAGCTTCGCGTGACCGTCTCGCAATGCTCACAATAGGTCAGAATAGGCATCGAGCAACGTGTAGCGCTGCGAAGATTGCATGCTGGACAGCAGAGCAGGACCAGGTAGAGCTATTTGTTTTTTGAGTGTCCGAGCAAAAAAAAAAAACTAATCCAATAAAACATGAGAGTCAACAATCAGATTGAACGTGTGCGTTGATTCACGGTAGGCCAGAATGAGACAAATAATCTACAATTGACCTTGAAGGTTGCAAAATAACGTCCCCGCTACGGCAGTAATGGGTTTTGTGGTGTCACGGTTGAAAAACTCGTAGTATATATACACGATACAGGAAGCCAGCTACAAACATTTACATATACCCAGTATTAATCGTATCATAACACCCATCTCCCTTCAGCTTGCAACCCGGATGCCCATACTTTCTGCCAATCTGGATGAAGACAGGATAGACAAGTCGACTCAGTACAAAAGTGCACCGGATGATCGGACACCACAACATGAACGTCGTTTAAGGAAATAAAATCCTCATCAGACACCTCGGCATCAACATCTTTCAACGAAAAAAAAAACCCCTCTTCGACATCTTTGGACCCTTGTACCTCGGCGGGTACGCGGCGGCCCCTGAGCCTGGAACCAGGAAGCGTCAACAGTTCCGCGTGTAGCTTCAGTTCCATGCTAGATTCGTGTATATCGAATGGGAGTTTGACTTGGGGGAAAACCAAAGAGACTCTTTCGAGTCTCTCGAAAGAACCCCACGGAACGTACTCCATCCACAGAGGTGCAGCGTAGCTTTGACATCCAACACCGCACATAGTCCGAAAAAGGATGTGTGAAGATATGTCACGCTCATCGGGAGGGATGGCGATAAGGTGGGTGATGGATGCCAGGAAGGCTGATCCTGACGCAAGCCTCGTCATGTCCCATGAATCACAGGTGATCCTCGATAACGTTAATGTTTTTATGTTCCACGGAAGTGGCAAACATCCACGGTCTATGTTGTCGTCCATACGGCCCCATGCGAGCTCTACACAGTATTCCAGGAGGTCTAGACACCAGAACTCGATCGCTAGTGACGATGCGCTCAGGAGTACTGGAGCGATGAGCTCAAGGTCTGACACAGGCTCAGAGGTAAAGCGGCTGTAGACGTGAGCGTCTGAGGGACGCCCACCACAACGCTCTCCAAACCAGATGTTGCGTATGTAAGGTGTGTACTCGAAACGAAGAGCAGGATAGGTGTGAGCGTATTCGTTCTGCATATGTAGAGCATGCAAGAAAGCTGGCATGTTACGAGAATCCAGTAATACTGTGTGCAACATTATAGGCAGTGCAATGTGCCTAAAAGCGCGGGAGACGAGACAAAGTTCACGAGCGGTTGAGTACAGATTCATCAGCTCATATTCCTCGTCTTGAGTAAAAGTGGGTTTTGCAGCATCTTGTACGATGATGGCGACGATCTCAGCGGGAAGGTCGTTAAATGAAGCTCGGGGGGTAGTCTCCATGGTGGCTGAGTGATATGGAAAACCGGTCTGAACGAGCCCTCATTTAACACCTCGTGAACAATGGCAGAAGAAGTTGAACAGCAGTGGCCCGAGCCGCGTTGGAATATTGTGGGACCACAAGCTATGACAGTCCATGCCACAGTTGTTGCCCCATTTAGTCGCATAATGTGGTCTGGCTCTGTGGAAATATTGGTTATTACTCGATGCAGATGTGGGATGAACCCTTGAGAATCTACTTACACGAACTCATTCATCGCATGGCACAACTCTTACATAGTAGTCGATTGTCGAGTTGGACTACTCCATAGCAAATTCTACTGCTGCTTGATTAATGGAGCAACTGCGATATCCTATTGATAAAAAGAACACCCACCACCACCAGCATCACTGGAACGATGGATCCACTCCGTCCGATTGACACATGGCTTGTATGTGTCATCACTAGGACTCCCAAGGAGGGGATTCTGGAGCGAGAGAGTTTGAGGGTAATAGAATGCTTGGTTTTTCCACGTGCGCCCAAATAAAGTCTATGGTTCTCCGACGTACGAGTCACGATGCATCGACAGAGTTGAAAGTATCGCAGCCTCTACACCCTTGCTCCGTTCAGTTACGCACAACTACACAGGCAGTTGTGTGACGAAAAATCTTCTTCTACAAAGGTATCAACAACTTGAAGTAACGTACGGCGCCGATCAGCTACTGCTCGAGTGTTGTGAATCATGTCGAAGAGCGAGGATTTGGCCGAAGGGCCTTCAAGCTCCAGTATGCATGCCTTATTTTGTGATACTTCTGCCTCGATCAGGGGTCTCACTGAGTAGAGTGGGCGCTGCTGTGAACTGCAGAGTCCTATCGTATTCAAGCGAACAGCTGAGAAACAGAAAAAGGTCTCGACCTCGCACTGGAAAATGTTTATAATCGAATGTCAAACATACGAAGTGATATCCCAAGAGCAATGGTCAGCACCCCAGCACGCGGGAGGCTAGCCATGTGTTTCTTTCCCGCGAACCATAAATTCCAGATGGTAACCAATGAGTTCGAGGCGCGCTTGGAATAGAGTTTGGGGTGAATCGTGGGGCAGGTGGAACATGAAGTAGAGTATGTGGTCGGCTTCTGCAAGTAGGGTATTGGCATCGTCTTGGGCCTGAAGAGCCAGTAAATAGTGTATACTTTTGCCCTGTCTACCTAAATAGGTGCGACGTCGAGCTTGACTGTGATTGACTTTCATTTGTAAATGCGAGGCTTGATGGGTCTCGATTTCAAATACGATTCGGAAAGCCTTTAGTAGGATATCCTGATGTGAGTCTGAAGTTCTCTATAGCGAGCGCCAAATCAGCAGGGTCGTGTATAATCCGATAACGAGATAGATAAGCCTTCTGCAGCCGCATGTAGGTGAAATACCTGTCCGGGTGTAGCGAAGACAGAGCTGCCAACGATTCTTGACAAAGAGTAATGGCCTCCCCAACATCTTCGTTCTTCTGAGTTTGCGTGAAACGGGAGCAGAATGCCGAGCTCAAATCCAAAAGAGTTCTGTGGTACTCTGGATTGTCAAGCCGCTTTAACCGAAGGGATTCGCGACACCGATCAATGGCCTCGTTAAGATCCTCGCTGACATACAATTTGTTATATCTGATTTCGAGCGCGAGCGCAAGGTCGTTAAGTGTGATGTCACGATGTGGATGCTCGGGTGGGTGTAATGTCAGTGCCTCGCGAAGGAGGCTGATAGCTCGATTGATGTCGTCAAAGTCGTTGCGTGTGTTGAAATGGGTGACGAGGGCAAGCCCTAGATTGATCAATCGAGACTCGTGCTCAACAAGACGCAGGCGCAGCGCTTTTTCGTGCAAAGATATGGCCTCATCGAGGTCACTAGGTTTGCCTTGGTGCCTGAAGCGGGATGCGAGTGTACAAGTAAAGTTGTTCAAGTAGAAATCATGGCTAGCATGTCCCTCGGGGTGCAGAGACACGGCTTCATGACCAAACCGTATGTTCATGTCAAGATCATCGATGCTACCGTGCTGGTCAAAGCATGCTGCAACTGCATGTGCAAGCTCAATGAGGGTTCTGGGACGAAGTTGATGGCTTAGAGGACAGAGCTCGAGGACGACGCTTCGAAGGTGGATGCCTTCATCAGGTGCGTCTTTTGGAAGATTGTTGCATCCGTTGATCACATAATTGACACCATTTCTCCCTGCCACAATGCTACGAAGGTATGTGCCCTTTGGACAGAGAGGCAGTAGCTCATGATGGAGTTGGGCGGCTTCGCGGATGTCGGCAGCGGTACTTTTCTTGTAGTGGCGCCAAGTCAGCACTCCTAGAGGGTGAGATTGTATAAAGATAAGGATGATCGGGATGGTGCTGCGGACGCAATGCAAGGGCGTCACGGAAGAGAAGTGGTGCCATCGATGTCTTGAGGGTCATTTCGGGCGTAGCCTTCAAGGCGGGCCCATGCGAGGTCAATGAGAGCTGTTGTGTGGTCAGGGTGGCTGACCGGACACTGGTCCAGAACCAACTGAAAATGCTCTACCGAACCATTCAGGTGAGAGACTGTCTTGCTCGTCACATGAGGCAAATTGTGCGTGGCCCACATCTATCTCTCGAGCAATCTCGAAGTCTACGAGCGACTATAGTTGGTGTCCCGTTTCAGGAAAAGCTAACAGGACAGAGTGCAATGTTCACATCAAACAGTGTACTATCCTGATCGTCGTAATGTACAACGGCAACCTTCAGTGTGATGGAAGGGTGAACGCCTCGCACGAGTGGGAAGGATAGATCTACGAGATGTCAATATATGTGCATGCATGAGAAGTAAATCATTCACCAAATGGCTCATCCCACGACATTTGGAGTTCTCCGATGAGCTCTCCACCGCCTGGTATTCGACCGAGCTCATAGGATGCTTTAATCTCCATTGATATCACTGGTAAAAAATGTGATGACCTATAAACCAATGATCAGCGTCAGAAGGCCTCCACGGACTTTACAGAATTACAATATTACCCCATGCTACAAATTCGTCGGATGATAAGACACTAATGGCCAATTTCCAGCGTCTCCTCAGGTCGACATTGATGGACACATAAATGCCAGCGGGAATGCGCCAGGAGGGGACTCGAAGATTCTTTCCGTTGATGACTGTAGATAGAGTGTGAGGTTCATGAAACAGATATGAAGGTAATATAGAGAGACTCACCTTCAAGTCTGATATATTGGCTTTCTGAGCTATCAGGCATGATATTGCGATGGAGAAAAATGATGAGGATCAAGGATGGGCTGAGTGGTGGACGGAATGAGTGGGAAGGGAAGATGGGGGTAAGGATATGGGGACTGCGGATAGAGTTCGGCTGAGTAGGAGGTTGAGGCTTGGGATTCAGATCATGCTGCATGTGTATTTCCACAGGTCAACGTTGAACCCTGAATACAATTGATCACTGCTATGACAAGTGGCGATGTCCCTGTTAGCATCCGGTATCGACATTGTTGAGGGCTGTTCGGCATGACAGACACTGGTATGACTTGAACGAAAGCACGCAAGTCGCCCTCGGACGTCTTATTGATTTATAAACGTTCCTGTTCCTTTCAGGTATAGCTATTCAATGCCCGCATCCATTCTCCATTACTTTGTGCAGCAAGAAGGAATCCAGGTGACTCGGAGGAGAGGCAAGAATAGGAAGGTGGTGCCGAGAGAATAGTGAGGGAATGAGATTCAAACACTCCGATGGCGAAGAGAACGCGTAGTCTAATTATTAATATGCTAGCCAGCAGTCATCGTCGCAATTATGAACGCGGATCTATCAAAGATGAAGTCAACAGTTTATCGAATAACGCTTAAATATCTCTTGTACCATAGTTATGCGAGCATCCTACGCGGTGAGTGCGGCAGATAGCGGATTAATAGGCAATAAAACATCTGCTGTCCGTCAAACGACTTTGCCGCAAGCGTTGTAATTTCAACATATCACGAGAGTTTGAATTGAATCGATGTTTTCGGATCAAGACGGCTGAAGCTTGAAGCTTGCAGAATATTTCGATCCTGGAATATCCGGCCCATCCGAACATCCGACCTATGGCTGACTTAGCATCACGTGTAGTTCCCACGTACCTGATACGACAGCGACGTGTAAATGATAACCAAAATAGGTAAGCACGCTTCGCGCGCTCACTGCGTGCATTGCCGAAACCTTCGTGCTCGCTGTTGCACACAGCGAGCTCAATTATTTTACCATTTTCACACATTTTTTTTAATAATTCTTTTGCATGTAATTAAATATTATATATTTCGCATACTCATAATTGAATGAATACTACAATAACAGTTCTCAAAGTCGAACGTAGAAAAAAATTCACAGCAAGATTTTGCGTTGCTGGTACGGCATGTTCAAACTCCGCCCTGCCCTGTCACTCGACATCGTCATTACTGGCGTCGATGGTGCCAAAGATTCAATCCGATCACCAATTGTTGTTGTAATAAACACCCTGAATCATGTCACGCTCTGGACAGAGAGGTCGAGGTGGTGGAGTTCGAGCCGGTGTGTCCGCCAGTACGGACACTGGGAAGAAATGCACTATTCATTGGGAGGGGGTTCGTAGCGCTCGTACGGAATGTCTCCTTGCCTGGTGCAAGGAAAACGAAGACGCACAGATCAAGCTGTTCTCCGATTCCGCAAAGGATGCGAAGGAGCAAGGTTGGAAGAAGAAACAGAGCGGAACTTCGAGAGATACCTTTTATTCACAGGTCGCACAAGCCGTATTTTCGAATGACGAGGATCCGGAGGTCCAACGACTTTTCAAGGAGGACCCAAAGGCATTTATCAAACCAGTTTCAACTCGTTTCGGCACGTATGTATCCTGTTCCTGCATTGTTTCTCCTCCCACTAGAATCACTGATCAGATGTTTTAGGCTCAAGAAAAAATATAACGAGTTCAACAAGGAGCTCAAGCAGTCAGGAGCTGGAAAGACATATGCAGAGCTGCAAGAGGATCCAACGATGAAGTCATTGATTGGTAAGTTTTAGCCGCTGTTGAACTGCACATGTCTTAATCGTATCTCTGTTAGATACAAAGCTCGAAAAATTTCCCTGGTGGCCTGAGCTTCATGGCTGGTGGCGCACAAACCCAGCTTTCAATTATGCCTTCTCTACAGCGGATACAGGGCAAGATTTTGCGTCCGCTGCATTAGAACATTTCGCTATCTCAAAGCAACCACAAGCACCGGCCACAGGCGACGATGACACTCACACAGATGAGGATGCCGAGGACGGAGAAATAGTTGAGATCAGCGCTCATACTACAGGTGATGCTGGCATTATAGATGCACCAGATGATATGATGGTTGACCAGCCCCCCTCCATGGAGTCATTCGAATCACCATTGTCAGCACCATCCCCGCTGTTATTTTCGGACCATGGTCCTAGCGACACGTCCAACTCATTCTCACTCGCTCCATTACCACACTGGTACCAACGACCCCAACCTCCTCCCATCACAACTTCCAACACACACGGCGTGATATCGCTGAACTCTCCTGAGCGCTCACCGGTACCCAATCAAAGCACCACCCACAATTCACCTTTCTTTTCTGATTTCAAGGAGTCATCAGCTAGCCCTCAATCCACACCCATTGACTCGGAAGATTCGGACATTGGTGCTAGCCGAGCGCTGCAGTCTCTTCGCGTCAGCTCACTCAAAGGAAGTCGCGCAAGTTCACCCTCTCTTTCTACAAAGCAGTCTCGTGCACGTGCACCTACTCAGAGTGCTTCACCTCAATCTAGTCGCCCCCCCTCTTCATCATGCAAACGCCCTGGTGGCAGCACTCTCGATCAGACCTCTGCCGCTGCAGATAGGATATCTCAGATGGCAGATTCCATAATGACGCACCTTAACAGCAAACGTGAGGATTGTGTGGAGCACGAATGCTATAAACGCATGAAACTTGAGACCGAAATTTGGGCTCATGATCTCAAGGCCCGCAGTGCTCGTGATGAGTGGGAGCATGCGATGCGTCTATCTGACCAAGATCATCAGCACCAGCAGGAGAGGATGACTCAACAGATGGAATTTGCAAGAATTGAGATTGAGCTATCTCGTGCACGTTGGGAGGAGGAGGAGGCTCGAATTCGTCGTATTGCTTTGGAGCGCGGTCTTGATCAAAACTAAGTAGGTTTGCACTATGTTGTCACGTAACAGGTTTTCAGGAAATGCATTCCATGTTGTACTCGATGGTGCCAACTCAGAGAGCTCACTAAAACGCTCCTTTCTCGAGCAAATCTCAAGCACAACTGACCCCTCCTAGAGCTCGCCAAAACACTCCTTTCTCGAGCAAATCTCAAGCACAACTGACCCCTCCTAGAGCTCGCCAAAACGCTCCTTTCTTGAGAAAATCTCAAGCACTACTGACCCCTCCTAGAGCTCACTAAAACGCTCCTTTCTTGAGAAAATCTCAAGCGCTACTGACCCCTCCTAGAGCTCGCTAAAATGCTCCTTTCTCGAGAAAATCTCAAGCGTGACCTTGCGAGCCAAAAGGAATATGTATAGGTACAAGTACATTTAATATAATACTAACTACCTTCGCTCCAACGATGAAAGCAACTGCGTCTTTAACGTGTTACAAAAATCCTGCCCCACAGTTCCAATGTAAGTCTGATCACCTACTGCGCCACCCTGTTGCTGATCATCCTCTCCTCCATCACCGTCAGCTCACCTCAATCTCCGAGTTTGCTGATAGAAGCATATGTTTGAGTCTTCGCGGTTTTCTGTTTCCTCAATTTCAACAATTAAGTTGTGCAGAATGAAGCACGAATGGATCCACATGTTCGCGTAGTCGAGGTCATTCTGGCTTTGGATTGGGATGCGAAGCTCCCGCAGTGATTGGAACCAGCCCTTGATAGAGCCGAAGAAGTGCTCTGAATGAACGCGGACCTAGACACTGGGTGAGGACGACGAAAGTATATTAGTACTGATGCTCACTGTTGACAGGTTATAATTGAATGTCCTTTGCTCGGCCGTCAAAGACCCTCCCGCTGGCCATTTGTATGGCGGCACACACCAAATTCGCGCAGCATACGCCGAGTCCGCCCACAACCACTCTCCCGCACCAAAAAACGACTCGGGATGCCGGGAGACCCTCGTTCGTGCAAATACGTTTGAGTCGTGAAGACTCCCGGGTACGCCAATGACGTAGTCAACGATACGCAGATTATGAGGGAATATGACGACCTTTTGGATTGTAAGTCGCTGCGCTGCACACTGAGCCGATAGTAGATACTTACCTGGGCTGTTAGAGAGTAGTCAGAGTTCTTGTCAAAGAACCCTTCGCCGTGCCAACCGGGCTTCTCGTGTAGAGGGGACGGAGTCCCATCTACACAAAGGAAACCGCCGCGCCACTCATGACATGTCTTCTGCTCCACGTACACTTTTGCCCGCTCTCGCTCAATCTGGTCCTCACGATCGAGCGGATCAAAATGTATGGCGCGATCATGCAGTTGCAAGATCGCGATCATGACTCGCTTGTAGCAGTTGTAGATGGTCCCTACGGACACTCCAGCCCAATCGGATATGTCTTCGGTAGTCGCAGCATTGCCATAATGGCCGACACCATTGAGAAAGATCGCGAGCTGGACGGCGACAGGAAGTTGTGGATTATTCGAGTTATTATGGAAAATGGGGTGGGCTTGGATTAACGTTGTGAGTTTGTTGAATACCTCTGCATCAATGTGAAGCTTGCGGCGAAACTTTTCAGGTGAGAGCAGCGCCCATTCTTGCAGCAGGTGTAACTGCGGTGCGCGAGTCAGAGATGGACGCACGTCAAGTACCCGACACTTCTCCACTTCATCATGCAGTGCCCCGATCACATCAATAAAGTGCGTAAACACTTGATCACACATGTCCGGGATATCGAGTGATAGGACATCAGAATATGCTGTTGAAAGCGAGGTTACTAGAGAGCTGATGGACAATGTGGATATGACAGATGACGTCGGGGACTCCGGCCATGTTGGCGATGCAGTCCGTATGCTGACATCTGACCCACTATCACCATCCGATCCCTTATCAGAGCTATTGTCAGAGCCCTCCTCAAGGAGCTGATCCACCATAAATTCAATCAACTCCATGTATCGCGCAATTGTAAGGTCATTTGTCGTTTGCTTCAGACTACGAAGTAGTTTTTTGCGATCCGATTCTCGAGGCATCTTCCGATGTCGTTGCAGAACGTTATCAATATGATGGTCATGGTAAGGTACGATGATGATGGGCGGTGGTAAGATATGAGCTTGATTTGTCATCGTCGGAGTTCTAATTATCGGCAAGTCACAAATTTCTTACCTCTTGAAATTTCTACGATTTTAACTTTGAGGACCGCTAATGGGTCCTGATATTCCAGGATCGA